AAACTCTGGCCTCATTATATTTTCTGAAGCAACACTGCATCTGCAAGCCATGAGGTCCTGAAGAGAGAACACTGGACTGCAGTCAGGGGACAACCTCAGATCTATTCCTGTGAGAGTCATTGTTCTGCCCTCTGACCTGGGGCAAGCCAATTAACCTCTGTCTTCCTGTCCATGCCTTTACTGTCCTGTCTACTTAGTATGTAAGCTCTCCGGGGCAGGAATTGTCTCTTCTGTGTACAATGGGCCCCTGACCTTGTTATATATTATTTGTCTTACCAACACCACGTACCAAGAACAGAGTATGCTTTATGGTATTTTCAAGTATAGGTCAAAGGACTATATGACTGCCATCAAGATATCATTTGTTTCTTGATAGATTTCTTTCAAGGTCCATGTTAGGTTTAGAATTCCTTATAAATTCATCTTAGTTCCACCGATGATATCCTTGCTCACTCAACTGAAATATTTGTTATTAGAGAATGTGCTTCAATATACATCAGTGGAACAGAGTCAGAGAAAGCCCCATGAGGACAGGTTGGGTGAACAGGGCTGCAACAGTCGTGCCATTGGAAGACTTGATATGTTCGCAGCAAGGCTGCTGATCTTCCAAGAATATACAAAGAATATAAATAAAAGCCAAAGCATATAAAAGCCATCCTATTTCCACACCCTAGAAAACTATGTCCAGAAAAGTCCTTGAAAAGATTCACGTGAATATTTTTACTTGTATAAAAATGCTGCATGCCTTTATTCGTGAGATACACACACAGGAAAAGATACTGTATACAGGCCTACTTCCCTAGAACAAAGTCTTTGAAGTGCTAAAATTTAATCAGCAATTGTAGGAAAGCATTCACTCAAAATGCTTTTGCTATTGTTTTGGAAATCTGAGGTGGTTTAAACTGGTACTGCCCTGACTTATATTGAACTCGTTGAATAAACTGAAATGAAGAAAATATTCTTTCTGCATGTGCATTGGAGGCTACTGGTGTCACAATCTGGTTTAGCACGTAAACAAACATGGTTAGAGGTGTTTAGCCAGTGACTGCCACCAGTTCAGTGATTTAACTGTCTCTAAAACTTCAGCAGCAAACATCGTACTGCTTAATGTTATTCTTTTCCTTTCGTGTAAATGATTTTAATATATTTTAGTAAATTTAAATCTCAATGTAGGCTGTCACAATTTCAAATTAAATTTTCAAAAGGTGTATTTTTAAAAATAAACCTGTATTTAAATTAAAAAAATCTGATTAAAAAAATTTTAAAGACCGATTTTTATCCATCATATAAGCGAAGGTTAAACTCCGATAATGACTTCACCTGAAAAAGGGGAACATGTCCAAGAATCAATGTTCCAAAGACAATTAACTGCTATACGAGCTATAAAACACATCAAATGAACACAGATTATTTCACTTATACTTGCAAGATAAAATTTAATAACTACATTTAATGGGTACTTAAAAAAACAATTTCCTATGTATTAATTAAATGCGCTTCTTCAGCAGAAAAGAGATTTTTTAAAGGGTTATATAATCCCTACCAATCTAACAACAAGCAATTTGAAGACAAAATATTAGTGTGTGCGTTATCCGTAGATCAGTTTAAAAAAATTCCGTACGCAAGATTATCAGCAGCACAATTACATAAGTGTTGTTAAAATGAAACCAGTCTGTCACACATGAGCAAGCAACAGCGTGTTGCAAAGATGAATGTCTTCAGCTAAGCGTTATTCAGACAGATGGTGTCATCTCCACTAAAGTTACACAGCAAGTGGTGAAATACTCAGGACTTGGGGCTGGCTATGGTTGTAACCTGATTGCTGTAGCTTCAGTTCCATGGGGAACTGAGGTATGAGAAAGACAATTCCCTGATTCTGCAGTAGTTTTTATTCCAGAAAGGCACAAATGCAGCCAACAGCTGCTTTGGGTTATGGGAGGAACCAAAGGTGAGGACCTTGCAGCCAGACTTGTTTCCCACCTGTGCATTCCTTTGCTTCTACAGCAGTCTCACAGGGGCATTGTAATCCCTTACCCGATGATCCTTTCACTGCTGCTCCGGGAATTTATAGAGCGGTATAAGGAAGGGTACAAAAAGGAAAGATGGTACAGTGATTAGAGTGGGAGCCTGGGACTAAGGAGACCCAGGCTCAATTCCCATCTCTGTCACAAATGTCCGGTGTGACCTCAAACAAGCTTCTGAGCCTCAGTTTCCCATCTCTAAAAGGGGGACAACAACACTTCCCTACCTCCCGAGGATGTTGCTAGGTTAGGTTAAAGATTGTGAGGTACTCAGAGACTACGGTATTGGGGGGGGGGGGATATAAGTGCCTGGAATGGATGGATTGGATGTAAAATAGCAGCACTGCCAATTCTCATGATTTTAGCATGAGTCTCACAATATGTGGGGTTTTCCTTAAAACTCCAGACCCCAGATTCTTGTGGTTCCCTGCGAATCTCTGCTTTCGTTTTCAAATAAAGTTTCCAGCTCTCATGACCGCAGAGAAAAGTTTAAAAGGTGACCCAAGTGCAGTCTAAAAGCTCAGAAGCCTGAAGGCAAATAAAAAGCACCCCCAGATGATCCTTTTGAAATCCCCCAGATGATCCTCCTATTATTTTGGGACCTGACTCATGATTCTGGAATGCTTGAGGTCGGAAATACTGAAATGGGAACAAGCAGTTCCTAGGGCAAATGCAGAATAAAGCTGCAGAGGGGAAACACTTTCTTAGGAAAGTTCTTATGCCTATCCAGCAGACCCCAGGAAGTTCCACCAATTCTGCACCAGCATCATTCTCCAGTCAGAGCGGGCAAAATGATTCATTCCGGGCAACCTCTTGTTGGCCTTGCAAAATTCTACTTGTGCTCATGGCCGGGGTGAATAAGCTTTTTGGATAGGCATCATTAACAAGATGATAATGGTCAGGTGGATAGCTCTTGGGCATGGGCTAGTAAATTGTCATAACAGACCACAAGGCCATTTAATGCTATTGCATAGATCCTGGATCAAAGCTAGAAAGCCAGCAGCCAGTGCGTTATAACACTTCACTAGGGTTGCAGGGTATTTGTCTGTTTGTTTCCTTTTCTGCATGAAAATCAGATAATGATCCTCAAAGCCTGGCGACAGTTCACTGCCCATCCTCCGGTGCCTTGAGCTTTCCCATGGCAGAGCAGTCAGCAAAATACACACCCGAAGATTTACATGCTTTCACTTACAAATATAAAAGAGAAATGTGCAATAAAACAAATTGATTTGATTTCCAGGCTACAGCTGTGTAAAATATTTCCCTTTAGGATTGAAAGCGTTCCCTTGATTGCAAAATACTCCACCTTTAGCCTTCGTCTCCAGACAATGTACTCACAAGGTTAGCAGCGACTCCTGTCATCATGACCGGGCACTATTTAGACAGATTAAAAAGCTTACAATACTTACTATTAAATGGCAGGAATTTCCATGGGAGTTTGTTTGTAAATAGCGTAGACAATCCTGCATAGTATGTGGAGCACTGCATTTGACTGTATCAGTTCAGATGCTTGAGGAATCAGAGAACAATGCATCAGTGAACGGCAGTGCAGAGAACTACAAAATACATGTGTAGCCATGCCCTGGCATTGGCTGCTCATATTGGTCTTGGGACTTAGCCCTGGTGTTATAATTCAGCCTCACCATGCATTGGGGGCAACAACATCACAGTATCACAAACAATGTCACATTAGAACTGGGGCAATTCCATTCCGCCCCATAATTTCTCTCTCATTCCTTTCTCCCTACCCCGGGCCCTGGGAGTGAAGGGATTGTCTTTCATTTCCCTCATCAATCCTTTCTCCTTTTCGCTGCACTGAAGATAGAAGAGGAGCTACCCGCAGCTCTGAACCAGTCACTGTCTTATGTGGAACCCACTCTTGTGATCTGTAGGTCTATTGCCAGGCCAATGGTCAAATCCAGCGAGCAAACTATGATCTATACAGACTATAGCGTGGGCATAGACAGTTTGAAATCGTGTTAGTCTTGTAGACATATTTCTATACTGCAGCCATTCCAAAACTGAATGTAATCTGTATGCAAATGTTACAAATGGAACTCCAGTGAGGTATCTGAATTAAATTTCACTATTTACAGAACAAGTGGGATTAGTCTGATCACACCAAAAGAATTAATGTAAGAGAACTCTTGGAGGCTTTAAAAATATATGAAAATCTAATTTCTGTTTGGATTTTTCAACACTCCTACATTAAGCTTGAACACTGCATTGCTACTGCAGAGTGTGTAGGAAGTGTCTCTCTTGTTCAGATATTAATGAGAACAAAACACATGTACTTTTTACGACTTTATCATTTGATACAAATCCATGTAGACCTAGGAACTAAGGTTTTGCATTCACACTTCCAAAGCTTTTTAAATAAAACTTTTCAATTGATGATCCAAAAATATAAATAAATAAACCCAATTTCCTCCCTGGAAATAACTTGAATTACACAAAAGGAGATGGGTTGTCATAGATTGTGTTCTTCTAAGTGTTTCCCTACACCTGCGACTCTGGACGGTTTGCTCTATGCCATGTGAGTTTCTGCTCCAACATCAGAATCTGCACACAACAAATACATGAGCCTCCTATCCAAGGGACTATCACGTAACAAACCGGTATAGTAAATTTCATCCTAGGCCAACAATGTTGAAATACAAGTGACAAAGAAGAGTATGGCTTTTGGAGAAATGATCCCTCTTTTCTTTATTTTTTATGTTTGGCTTCCCCCCCCCCCCCCCCCGACCTTCTAATCTTCAGATATTAGTGGTTTTCAAAATGTACTTCATCCACACAGTGACTTTAAAAGCACCTTAACCTTGCAAAGTATTCTCTGAATCAAGGAGTACAGGGCATTCACTGAGGCAGTTTGTGGGCTGCATTTACCTACATGTAAATATACAGAACCATAGTTACAAGTGCCATAAGCAGATGTTCAGAAAACATATAGGAATGCAAACAAAGGCAAAAATCACATACCTTAGCAAACCTGATGGTTCCGAATTCTGGAGACAATTTAGTTTCGGAGCAACATTGGAGTGAAAGGAAGTTCCTCAGGCTACCACCAACTGGAAGTCCTTTTTAAGTCCCACACAGGCTCCAGCTCAGCCTTCTGTATGTATGTCCCTGAGGATGCTGCAGTATCCTCCAGTTCTTTGGAGCCGGAGCAGAAAAGATGTCATTCAGAAAGAGAAAAGAGAAGAAGGTGTGGCATTAAATTCTAGGGTCAGTCATTCGGCAGGTTCAGAATAGAATGTAAGACAACATCTGATAGCAATGAAATGTCAAGCCAGGACAAAGAGTCTGTGACAAGCCATCATGTTTGGCACCTTTTCAGGGAAATCTTTGAATTCAAGAACTGTGGCACAGAACTATTTTGGCTTTATGGTGTTTTAACTGTGTCCCTAAACTAGGAAATGAATGCCAGCCTGGATGCACTTTATGTCAGTCTGAGATCACAGAAGTACAGTAACACTCCTGCATAACTTTAGAGAACATTCTTATTCATTACAGTCTTTCACTGGGAGAACAGAACGTTCAAACTAAGGGGATTTAAAGTTAAGAACACTGACAAAAACTCAAGCAAACAACACTTCAATGCACTTGTACAGTGCAGTTCGTTCACAGATCTCAAAGCTCATAAGGAAACGTTAATTAATTAGGCCTTATGACATAGAATCATAGAGGATTAGGGTCTGAAGAGACCTCAGGAGGTCATCTAGTCCAACCCCCGGCTCAAAGCAGGACCAATCCGAACGAAATCATCCCAGCCAGCGCTTTGTCAAGCCGGGTCTTAAAAACCTCTGAGGATGGAGATTCCACCATCTTCCTCAGTAACCCATTCCAGTGCTTCACCACCCTCCTAGTGAAATAGTGTTTCCTAATATCCAACCTAAATCTCCCCTGCTGCAACTTGAGACCATTGCTTCTTGTTCTGTCATCTGCCACCACTGAGAACAGCCGAGCTCCATCCTCTTTGGAACCCCCCTTCAGGTAGTTGAAGGCTGTAATCAAATCCCCCCGCTATGAGTTAGCTACTGTTGGCCAAAATGTTCAAAAATGGGTACCCGACAGGCACCTGAAATCATTTGATTGTCGAAAAAGCTCCACGCCCAGCAGCACCCACTCACACAGCTGGGAGTTTTCAACGCTTCTGAAACATCGGGTCACTTTGATTAGGTGCCTAACCACAGGCAGTGGGGTTTGAGAAATTCGGCCTGAGCAATTTACTGGAAATCACACCTCAAGCGGGGGGAAGGGCTTGGAAAAGGAGTCAGGAAGTCTAACCCCCATTTTTATTGTTAGTTATTGGTATTAGAAAAGCAGTTAAAGGCCCAAACCAAAATCAAGAGCTCCACTGTGCTGCCAACGCTGTACACACATCTTAAGAGACAGTCCTTGCCCTAACTAATTACTATCTAAACAGACAAGACATATAAGGTGTAGGAGTAGCAGAGCTGGTGGACAGAATCTAAGTCTCCTAAATCCCAGTCCGGTGCTTTTTCTGATGGACCTTGCAGCCTCTGCCCCAGTTTGAACGTCTGGGTACCCTTGCCTCAACGGCTGCAATGATACAGATACGCATGATCCAGATACGTCCTGCAGCCATGGTGTAGGCTGGTGGACCAGTCATCAGCATGGGACAGACAATCAGCCACACCCAGGTCAGTTTGTCACCCTCACCTCAGGGCCCTGTTTATTCTTCAAAAACAATAAATAAAAGGGAACATGAAACAAGAAAATCAAGCAACTGTCCTGCTCCCCATCGAGACTGTGGGGTGCTCTGGCCTCTGGCAGCTTAATGGTCAGAACTCCCCCCTCCCAAGACTTGCCCTCTTGCAGCCTTCTGTCCCCCCACAGCCCTCTTCTCTAGGCTCATCATGGAGCTGGGCCCTTCAGTTATATCCCCTGACTATGAATCCTCAGCCCAGTCACTCAATGCTGTCCATTTGGGCTCTTCTCCAGAACAGGGCTAGCTGCTCCCCAGCCCCCCTGGCCTTTAAAAGAGGGCTGGGTGCTCTGTTGCACTCTACTTCTGAGATAACACAGCCTGTCACATCTGTAACTTAGTCTGAACATGGCTGCAGGAAAGATGGACAGATGCTAGTTTTATGCCAGGAATAGTCAGAAAAAGAGGAGAAGACAAAACCAACAAAAACATACTACTTGCAGACAGTTCCAAAGGGGTCAAGTCTGAATCAGCAGCCCCAGAGCACAATGCTCATTACATCCTCCCACAGATTCCCCCAACACACACACACACCCCCACACCCCAACTGGGCTAAAGAGATGTAGAAAACTGACTCAGTCAACCAGCAATGGAAAAGCAAACCCAGGGGGGTGTGAAGCGAAGGGGCAGGGGAGTGAAAGGATGAAAGCGTCCGCACCTCAGCTTGGAGGCAGAGCAGTTGTATCAATCCTAGCAGTGAGAGGAAGTCCACTTGGTAACCAGAGCCACTGTGGAACCCATGCCCAGGGGCATGCAATCTGCTCTGCCCCCTGAGTAACCCCTTTTTCTTCAGCAGGGCTGCTCGTGGTGCGAGCTGCAACATGAGCTAAGGTGGCAGAGTCCAACCCCACGTTTGCCAGCAGTTTGTGTGTCGAGAAGGGCTTTAAAGGGAAGTGTTATTTGTATTTGCCAGACTGCTTCCCTTCTGTCATCCTGTGGGCTCAGGTAGGGAGGCAGAAAAGTAGAACAGCTTCAAATCTTATATTCCTTGCCAACACAGGCGTAAAGCCCTACCTCTCAAACACCATTTGTAGAACCAGTCTGGCAACGTGAGACTGAAGTGGATGTGACGTGTAGGAATGGCTGACGCTGCAGAAGCTTGGTCTGGGAGCAGTAGTGAGATCTAGTGCCTCTACTTTTAAGTGATGTTTATCTTTGGGGACCAGAAATGTGATTACTTCCATTTGTTTCCTGAAAGTTGCAATGCAAAAAAAAGGAAAAGAAAAAAGACTTTATTTCCCCTCTTTTTACTTTCAATGGAGCTGAAAGGCAAAAGACCAAACTTGACAACGGGACTAGACTGTCATTGTAAGCTGAGTCTGAGAGCCCTGCTTCTGGTGGGGAATGATATGTTTTTTGGAAGTCTCGATTTACCGCAGCCTGCCAATGCTCATCGTAAGCAAAGCCCCTGGGTGAGGAGGACTTGGCACATTGCCTTAATGCACTGCAATGCATGCACTCAGAGTTTCTGTTGTGTCTGAATTCCTGCACTGCTGGGTGGATCATAAATTATGGTGCAGGCAGGAGTGTGCTTTCAGCTTTTGGCAAAGAGCAGACACCTTCCCTTCGTCCTAACCACTACCGTTACGGGAATAAGAACATGGCAGCAGGTACTGGAAAACGCTGCTGCAGATTTCATCCAAGCATTCACCCGAGCCAGCTGTTGGGAGGATATATCAGGTGTTACTACACTTCAGCACTGCGGGGTGGGGACACAATGGGAAAAATAACTTCAGTCAAATTAAAAAGTAATGACTGCATACAACTGCCATCTCTCCAGCTCCCATTTCAAGTGTCTGTGATGGTGGAACATCCACATGGAGTATAATCAAATGCAAACGGTTATGAGCGCTAAGCAAGTGCATCAATCCCAATGCAACATGCCTGGGCTGCATTTGAAGAATTTCTATTACACAGATATAGACGGATGCAGGCAAGGAAATAGTTTCTGTCCAACGATATAGTTGGGGTTATGTTTCTATGTTACAGGTTCCTGGGAAAAAATGCAAGAGATATAACTTCTAGAGGCCACTGAGTACACCTAAATTAATGAGGGATCATGGCAGCCATCATGAGGGTACAACATGACATGCAGAAATCTCACTCCACCTTGTCCAACATGAAAAAATAACGTGCATCACCCAAATGTACTGTGCTATTCACCACTTTCTGCCCCACCAGTTCAAACTTTTCTATTCAGTGTCTGAAACCCTGGATTAAATTTTATGCAAGGGCCCTAAGTGAAATGAGTGATGGCCTTTGTTCAGTCTCCAGGCCATGAACACAAAAAACAAACTAGCACATATATGTTCTTCTTGGCTCAGAAGAGGCAGAATAGTTCACGACAGGAGCTTACACACCGATTAACTAGAGTCAAGCCTGAATTTCCCCAAAGCTTAGCAGTGTCCAGATCTGGGATTTAGTCCAGGAGCATTTTTATGAGTAACTTGTTCAGGGCACATCCCTCCAGAGTGAATGCTCCACTGGGATTACATGGCTCCATTGCATGGCTCATGGACTCATAGCCCTTCTTAAAGAGAGGAGCTTATTATACAAAACAACTAAACATCCACACAGCTCAAGAAGCATCTTGATTCCACCCCTTCCCCTTGGCTACCAGCCACCAAACCTTGTCTGGAATGCTCTACAGTGTGCAAAGACATCTAGTAGCTGACTAACATACTGTAGGCAAACATATCACTACGACAGGTAGTCACATCTGTACCAGTTGGTCTCGTCTCTGAAAATATTAATTACAATCTACTCAACCGCAGCTGAAGAAATTATGTTGGGCATGGAAAAAATTAAATACTTAGGGGATTTGGAGACTTGAAAATGAATGGAACCATATGTCCTCTGGCTAAATATTCAAGATCTTTCTCTTTACTGCCAATCTGGACTTCAAGCACCCAAATGGGAGAGGGGTGGCACACACAAGTATGCATATGTACATTCTCATAATTTTCCTCTTTAACCATAGCTGGACTTGGGCAAGCACCTATGGTTGATACGGCAGAGCAGTATTGGGGGGCAGGGGCAACAGGGGTGCAGAACAGGTAGAGGCTCCATCCTCATCATGAAACATTTAGTAGGGTCATTTCTGCCTGTCTATGTGGAAACTGAAGATCCCAAAGCACTTTCTGGAAGTAGATCGAGATTACATCAGCAAATATTCCTTCTAACTGAACCAGGGTCTAATGATCAAGGCTGTGTGTAAGCTACAGCTGAATGCGTAATGGTTGTTACATTTTCCCATGCAACCAGTACGTAGCTCATTGTTTGGTAAAGTGCTTTGGGATTTCTTGACCCAGAAAGGCACTTGATCAAGTACGTTCAACACCCAACAACTTTAATAAAAGTAGAGGGTGCTCAGCACCTCACAGGAGTCCTCAGGACCCTGCAGGATCAAATATGAAATGATCCC